AGAAAATGCAGAATACAAACATTTAGAAGCTATGTCTCCTCCTAATTACCACAAGTATAAATCAAGACTATTTCTATCAAAATCAATGGTGTTAGAACAATATAAAGCTGGTGTATATGAGAAGATAAGCAATACCATACGTCCTGATTTTCAGAGGCAGAATACCACAAGTCACCTTAAAACCAGCATACGTTATGGGTGTTCAGAACCCTGCAAAGCAGACCCACGGACATAAGACCTTGACTGTGTTAACACTAACACACATGCTTAACTTTCAACATATGAGTGGAGCTGTTTAAGTTATTAGGTCTGCTCAAGTGCTTTAAGTTAAGCATGTGCAAAATTTTTGTAGTATCTAGACCTTAAAGTATCAAAGAAAATAAAAATAAAGGAGTTTTAGCCTTTGAACTTTTGTGCTAGTGATCAAATGCAGTGCTTAAAAAGATTACAGAGCATGTTACAAATAATTCATTCTGTTGTTATTATAATTCAATTCTCTGTTTTTGTTATTAGGGATCAATTATTATACTATTCTCACTGCTTTAGTTACTGTTTGATCACATTAAAATTCAAATAGATTCATAAAGGTGATCCTGGACATTCCAGAGGGACATTCTACAATTAACTTAATCTATAAAATGTGCAATTTAACTTTATTCTGCTGCTCTATGTCATGAAGAAAGAGCATTTATAACATCAGTACAAGATTTCCAAAAGACTATTTGCAATTTTTTTTATATTTAAAGGGAACATAAAGGTAATTGAAGTTGGCCTTTGAAGTTTTAATGCATTTAAGAAATATAGTATACCCAAAGAGGGTTTATCTCAGTAACAATTGGCACTGCAGATTTACTTTTTCCACATGGGTTTCATTTGCAAAGAGACAGTGAATCAAGGCAGATGGAGTCACATCACTTCTCAGATGGAATCACATCACCTATGAAATGCTTAAAATTAATCAGAACAATACAATTGTCAGTGAAAAGAAGGAGGAAAAATCCTCTGTAAATCTCAAGCATTTTAAGACTATGTTAAAGGCTTAAAATTGTAGAGCATATTCCAAAAATATAGAATTTCTACAGAATTGTTCAGTTATTTGAGAAATCTGATGAAAGTTGTAAATCTCTGTATCCAGGACAACAACATCTATTCATCAGAAATCAATGCTTACTTAGACCGTTGAAGCTTCTGCATCTTGATATAACTTGGCTTTTGCATAATCTACTCCTGAACCAAAAAAATGAAATATCTCCTTACCTGGTGGAAAACATTCCATGAGCTTCTATTATTCCTATTCTTTCCCTTTTATACCAATAATAATATCAAATGCATTTCACTAAACCTTATCAGAGTCCTGGAATATATATCTACTGGTTTGATAGGTCCTTGAAGCAAATAGCAAATCTGCTGCTGATATCATTCATTTCATCCAAAAAGTCATTCAAAAGGTCAAATATTCACCTGAAGTAAATCACCACAGCTCTCTTGAAACTAGTTAACTAACAGCAGCTGAGGCCATGTTCCAGAAGTAGTTATATGGAAGTCGTTTCCAACATCATTGCTGATAATACCTCTGTCATCAGTCTTGTAATAATAAATAATAGCAAGACTATGTTGTGTTGACTTAAATTGAGATTCTCAGGGCACTTTAGAAGTTTTGTGCTACTAGCCTCAGAGGAGGAAAAGTAAGGTACAGAAGACTTAGGTGACTTGCCAAAATTACACAGAGTTAATCATATAACCTACATCTAAATCCTATTCCCCTACACTGGTCATTAATCAATGGTGCCTTTGTAAAATTACAGTGAATGTTGGTTTGTAGGATGAAGGCAGTGGCTTATAGTGTTGAAAATGTATACAGCAAATGAAATAAAAAAGCTGGAGCCTACTCACAAAATGCAGGAGTTGAAAAACTGAGTGTCCCTGATGATTATGCCACTGCCTGTTTTATTATTAAAGATACACAGAGACTAAGCCTAAACATAGACAGATACCTTCAGTTCTGCATCTTCTCCAATATTACTGTACAGACATTTATAGAGCCATGCAGGTCTGGGCCGTAAAGTCTTTATAGCAGCTCTGAGTGAAAATCAGAATGCTGTCTCAGTTGGCTGCTGTGTTCTCTCTCATGAATTTTACATCCCATCTTTACATCTCAGGACTGATGACATGAAAAGTTTTAGTTACCTAAATGAGTAACTCCTACCTGCTCAGCCATCCTTTTATTTAAATAGCTATCAGTCTAGTGTAGGATCAAATCCTACATATTTTGTATTATCCCAAATTCTTATTGAGATACAGAATCAGGCTCATAGTTTTATAGTTTTATTCAACACAAGGATGCTTCTTGTATAAATATTTGTTTGGAAATGTCAGATGAGATGCTCCTTGTGCATGTGTTAAGAAAAGAACTAATGCAATAGTTTATTACCATAATGAGATTCTGGGCAGGTCTGCTCTAGAATCCTTCCCTGGTATAGTAATGCTCCTTAGCTATATGATTGATTTATTTATATATTTCTATACTGGCAAAAAGCTTTACTGCTGGTGAAGTTACACTGACATAAAATGCTTTTCCTAGGAAAATTTATTTTGCCTGAAGAGCTTGTGTAAGTTCAGCTAGGAAGAGCACTTATAAACTTCAATGTACACCAGTATATTGTCTTTGCCAGGTATGCCCTTTGTCTTCCGTGTTTCATTCTCTCTTTTGCTAGTATTAGGCTGCTAGTACCTGCTTCTTTCTTCTGTTCAAAGTTATTGTTATGATTATTTGTATTACAGCAGCACCTAGAGGTCTCAAGTATGTGCAGACTAACAGAGTTAAAAAGGGAAATGAATTTTTGAATACTTATTATTAAAGATTTAATCACATTTTTCTTGAAAAAACAAATGGGTATTAATCAATGGAATAATTAGCTATTTAGGAGAGGCAGGGGGAATAATGACTTTGGGAAGATAAGTCTGGGTTGAAATGCAAGGTGTAGAATTTTTCTCTTGACTTTTCTGCTTTATGTTGTAGTCTTGTGTTGTTTACCCCCTAAGGAAAAGCCCTTGCTGGCTGCAACTGGCTTTTCCTCCTGCTGTTTAATATACACCCTTCAATGAGATGTCTCAAGGTTAGGGACAACGACACACTTTTTTCCAATAGTTGGAAAAAGTACAAGAAAAGCCTGTGTTACCATTGCTGAAAATGTACTTTTTTCTGTAGATAAGAGAGAATTTATCTAAAGTGCTCTGAGAATCTATATTTAAGTCAACACAACATAGTCTTGCTATTATTTATTATTACAAAGCTGATGACAGAAGTTTTATCAGCAATGATGTTGGAGAAGACTTCCATATGACTACTTTTGGAACATGTCTTCAGCTGCTGTTAGTTAACTAGTTTCAAGAGAGCTGTGGTGATTTACTTCAGGTGAGAATTTGACCTTTTGAATGACTTTTTGGAGAATTTGACCATTTGAATGACTGTGGATAAGAAATTTTACTTTATAGTAAGGAAGCCTCCATAAACAGTTTATTAAAAGTTAATAAATGACTGTGGGGTATTTTAGTAATTGGCTGAACAATTATTGCTGAGTCTAACAGGTCAGCAAATTCCTTTGAAACATCTCTAACACTTTGTTTTGATATGCTTACAAACACCCCAAACACATACTGCTTGGCTAGGGACAGATATTCAAAAAACCTGAGCCTGAATTGATTCAATCTTTGCAGGTTAGTCTAACCTGGCTAGGCTGAATCAGTTTTGTAACCAGACAGACAACACAGAAATGCAGGCACATGCACACAGTGGCTCAGGCTAGAAGCCAGTGTGGGGGGTGAGTGGTAGAGCAGCCCTCCCTTCCCTTTTACAGTACTGAGCTCAGTGGGGGTGGCATGGCCAGACCCCTGCAGGATGCTCTGATTAGCCCAGCAGGGAATTGATAACAGTGTTTATCACCCCATAATTCACCCCATAAAGAAAACAGTTGAGGGATGTTACTAGCTGAGGGGGGTGTAGCCAGGCCCTGGCAGGATGCTCTGATTATTCCCCACCACCGTCCTAAGCAGCCCAACAGAGAATGTTTATTCCCCCTAACTCAGTGTTTATCAACCCATTTAGAAAACAAATCCTCTCTTCATTAACTAATGGAGCTCTTCTTAAACAGCTCTTCTAAGAAAGTTCATTAATCTACCTGTTGATTAGCTCCAAAAGCCTGTTTGCCTGTTATCTCCCACAGCACAGACCATAGCCAGCATGTGGTCTGCTAGCTAATGCTGAGGTGTCTGTGTAAGGCAGAGGGGAGCGGGGAATAATTCCTGCTTAGCAGGGGAAAGCCAGGCAGATTCTCTGTGCCTGCAAGTCTCTACTGGAGCTCTGGCCAGGGAGCAGAGGGAAGGGGCCAACCCTGCTATGGGGTAGAGAGCCCCACCTAGCCCAGCGAGCATGCTGAGATGCTGGGGTTGTCTGGTTTATTTTAAACCAGCAAGGGCTCTGGGACAGACATTGCATAAATTGGTTTGACCCAAATCAGTTAAGTCTGATACTACATTCAGCCAGGTTTATCTCAAACCAGTTTCAGCCATTTTCAAACTGGTTTATATGCACTGAACATCTGTTCTGTTACAGGTTTAAACCAGCTTCTGATTACTTAAACCGATTTATGTGTAATGTCTGTCCCTAGCCTTTGTGTCTGTAATATGCTTATCACATCTGTTAATCTTTTATTAATCCTTTTTGTGCTATTCATAAATGTATCCTTAACATCAAATGTAAATGGACAAACAAAGGGCTCTGGGTGTCAGGCCAGCATATTTTACAAGAACTAAATTCACCTTCAAAAGATGCACAGCATAGTACATTCAGGAATGGAGAAAAATGATCTACAGCTTTGTCAAGGATTCTTTGTGCAGATCACAAGTGTCTACACTTCACTATATAGTGGTATTTGCTGAGTTGTTGTTGTTGTTTATTAATGCAGTGCCTCTTTTAACGATTGCATTTTATTTTCTCATAGGGTCCTCAAGGACCGAAGGGTCATCCAGGTCCGCCTGTAAGTGTGATTAGCACCATTTTTATATAACCTTCCCTTGCATGCATAATTGAAAGACACTTGCAGTAGATTCTCATACCTGATTCCTCTCCTTTTGTAGGGTCTACCTGGACCACCTGGGCCCAGAGTAAGTTTCAACACTGTTTTTTACAGTATGCTACAGTACAATGCAAGCCCTCATTGTTGCAAATAAAAATGTTGAGGCCTTCTTCATAGGTATTGCTTTCTTCAGCATCTTAGGTAAAACTGAAATGTTCTTTCATATAAATCTAATAAATAAATACACTAATAAATAGTACCTATTGCTTTAATGTGGAAGCTGACAATGGATTGTAATCCTTTTACCTCACACATTTCAGCTGTAGTTGTCAGCTGTGTTGTTTAGTCCTAAGCAAAATCTAGGCTTATGCTCACAAACCTGGGTATGATGGTGCCCAGGCTCTGAGAACAACTTTTGGTTATGTTTGTATGGTAAAGTTAAGTCCCTAGTGCCAGGACCCTCAAGCACACTGCCTTGGTTTGGTGGACAGCTTCCTAAATCCAGAAGCAGATTAGATCAAGCTGTTTGTTATGGATCTTTTTTATCCACCTTTTTCTATTTACATAAATAGGCTTGTATAAGAGCTATACATGTGTTAGGTTACACTGATGGGAGGACTAGTTTGAGTCATAGCATCATAGGGCTGGAAGGGACCCTGAAGGATCATCAGGTCCAGCCCCTTGCATGAGCAGGAAAGACACCTGGGCTCAGACAACCCCAGCCAGGTGACCGTCCAGTATTGTCTTGAAGACCTCTAGGGTAGATGATTGCACCACTTCTGGGGGGAGCTTGTTCCATAGTCTGGACACCCTAGTTGTCAAGAAGTTTTTCCTAATGTTCAGCCTGAAACTATCTTTCAGGAATTTGTGGCCAATGTTTCTAGTTTTTCCCCAGGACGCCCTGGTGAACAGTTGTTCATTGAGCCCCTGACATACGCTTCTGATATAGTGGTGAGCTGCAATCAGGTCCCCTCAGCCTTCTTTTCTTTAGGCTGAGGAGTCTCAGATCTCTCAGCCTCTCCTCGTATGGCTTGCCATGCAAGTCCCTAATCTTGCGGGTGGCCCTTCTCTGGACCCTTTCAAGCTTTAGCACATCCTTCTTGAAGTACGGTGCCCAGAACTGGACACAATACTCCAGCTGCGGCCGCACCAGTGTTGAGTAAAGTGGGAGAATCACTTCTTTGGATTTACTGGAGATGCACTGCTGGCTCATATTCACGCTGGGGTCTGTTGTCACCACCAGATCCCTTTCATTTGTAGTGCTGGTCAGGTTAGCGATGCCCAGCCTATGCTGGGGGTTCTTCCTTCCCAGATGCAGCACTTTGCATTTCTCTGTGTTGAACCTCATCTGGTTCCGTTCTGCCCAACATGCCAGCCTGTCTAGGTCTACTTGTATCTGGAGCCTATGGGCCAATACATTATTGCTATTGATACTGTCATTCTCTTTCAGGAATATACTTGTGAAAAGAAATTAAAGTGATATATTTTTACCTCTATAATCATTTTAGACATTTATTTCTTCCATTTTTTCTGGGGGTTTTGTCTTTTTAAAAATAAGATTTCAAATCGTATGCGAATCAGTGGTTGCAAAGTACTTTACTAACATAATAAAAATGCCTTAAATATTTTGGTGAAATAGGCTTTTTTGTCCTTTGCGATAAGTATACCTTATTTGACCTATGTTTTTTTCCCAGAGACTTGTATAGAATCCATCAATTAAACCAATACGTTCCTTCAACAGCACCAGGAAAATTTACAACCTTAGTTGTAGAATATTCTCTATTGATGTTACTGCTTCTCTGAAAAGATTTTTGTTGTAACGCAGAAACAAATGGACATCAATGCTGCTATTCAAGCCTTGATTGAATCAAATGCTGCACTACAGATGGAGGTAATATATTTTACTTTATTTACCTTGGCACATAGAGACTATCCAAATTAAAAAGAGTTCATTCAAGGCCAAAACAGGGTTCCTTTACAAAGATTTTATTTTAAACATATTGAAAATTCAGAGAGTATTTTGGAAAGAAAAAAATAATGTATAATATGATGAAATGCAACTGGATATATAGAACACAATATACCTTATGTCAAAGTAAAAAGAAAACCCCATAGTAATCCTGTTGTTTAATCATGATTAACAATGAAGGAAAGGCATTATACATATTATACAACATTATATAATATGAGGTTTATATCTTCAACTTCATACCTGAAGATGAGAATCATTTAGGCTCTGATCCAGCAAATACTTGTATGTAATCTTGTAGTTATGTAGTCCCATTAACTGTTTACCCATTGAGATTACATGTATGAATTTAAGTGTAATTGTACATATTTGAAGGATTGGGCCCTAAGGCTTGACTTTACTATTCAAAATTTGAGAATGCAAAGCATCACTTATTAAATATCTTAATTTCTTTTCTTCTTTTCTTTTTTCTGTTTTCAAATTCCATGTCAATGTTTTATAACAACGTATCTGCATGATTTTAACTCAACTCCATTTTCTTTGCTCCAATATATATTTTTTAATGTACTAATTTGTTTTAATGTGAATCAATCATTCTTAATTACTTCATATCTGGATGGCTACGTGTATCACAAACACCTTTTATTTCTCTCTGGATCTTCAATGGGCACTTAATTTAACTGCATGTGCTATTGCTATGGTATTTCTTTGTGGTAACACAATTGCTAATGAATGACCCCTTGACAGAGGTACCAGAATACTGAAGTAACGTTTCTAGATCACAGTGCAGAGATATTCAAAACATTACACTACCTTAGCAACTTACTGCAAAGTATCAAGAACCCCCTTGGCACCCGAGATAATCCAGCACGCATCTGCAGGGATCTGCTTAACTGTGAACGGAAAGTGTCAGATGGTGAGTATTTGTGTTGCTCAAATCCTCACTGTCACTACAGTTAGATTATGTTCTTTCCACATGTTAATTTTTTTCAGAATAAAATTTAATGAGTAGCATTATAAAGATAAAATATCTTTAAAATAAAGATATATTTTTGTATTTCTGAATATTATTTGGAATCACATCACTATCTGAAACTGATTTGGTCTCTGTGGGTGATAAAAAAAAAATGCTGCTTCCAGGTTATTCCAGCTTGCTGGTACTCAGAGATGAACTTATTATGAGTGAAAAATCTTTAAAACAATCTCAAATTTGCACTTGATCATTGAAAGGATGGTTCATGTTGGTGTAAAGCAGGAGTAACTCATCTAAAGTCATCTGATGTGTAGCTGGTGAAAACAAGGCTTAGAGATTTAGCCTGGAAATATCAAAGTATCTTAAGAAAGTGATACAAAAAACAAGAACTTTTGGTTCCAAAATGATACCTTTTATTAAACCAACTGGAAAATGGCAAGAAAATTGTCCTTTTCTGCAAGCTTTCGGGATCAAGTGCCTTTGTCAGACTCTGGGAAAAGTGAAGGTGGTAAAAAGTCCCCTTGGGTAGGAAATAAACTTCATTTTTGCACAGAGGGAGCTGAAGATGGAAGGCTGTCCCTCTCAGTCCATGACAGTGTGTGAACTGTGTTAAGTAGCTCTTTGATATGTTGATCAGGTAGAATTCCTTCCCTGGAGGTGTCAGATGGCAGGCAGGGAGGTAAAAAAAAACTTCCTTGTTGTCCTGCAGTGAAGTTTAAAATCCAAAATTGGCTAAAATTCGGCATCTTCCATATTTCAGGGGTGTACTTGGTAGCCGTGTTGGTCTGAGACAAAAAGACAGAAAAAACTAGAACTCTCGGTTCCAATCCTTAAGAAAGTGAGGCACTCAACACCCACTGAATTTCATTTCCATTCATTCAGCTTCATTCATATTTAATTCCTTCATGTCCTTTTGAAAATCCAAGCTTTAATCTGTCCATCTATGTTTACCTCCTCTGCCTTTTACCATGTTACATTTACTTGTACCTGTTAACAATTAGTCACAGATTTATTATTCTAAATTTGGAGGTAAATGATATTTTCAGAATTACAAATATATTTTCTAACACTAGGACACTAACTCCTAACACCACATTCATGGGGCTTTGTACTTCAACAGAACTGTCATATATTGCTTAAACTGGTACAAATCCTTATGTTTTTCATTAATCTGAAGTATATAGACTGAATGCAAGATGCGTTTTATGCTGATAAATTAGGGTTTTCTGCTTACACCAAGACCCTCAGGATTTGCAGCTTGATAGAGTTGGTCATATTGGCCCAAGTAGTAACAGCATTATTCTGTTTCACTTTATGCATTCAAATGGAAGACTTCTGGCCACACAGCTGCTATTTTTGGCATTTAGATGCAGTTTGCAATCCTGCTACATGTGCAAAGTGGACACACAAATACCCACATGACTACTGAGCATAGCTCCATATATGTGTATGTTGAAAAGGACACAAAAAAGAAGATGAAACCATTGAATTCACTTTGTACCCCAGTGTAAACATTTTGCTTCTGGTTATAAACACAGGGTAACTCTAGTAAAGTCAAAGCCAATCTAAATTTAGTAATCTAACATTCACCCCAAATTGTGGAAAGTTGGCATTCTTTAACAGCAGTTATATCTTTCTCTCCTTTCTCTCTGGGATTATAAATTGTTAGGAAAATACTGGATTGACCCAAATATTGGCTGTCCTTCTGATGCCATTGAGGTTTTCTGTAACTTCACTGCTGGTGGCCAGACATGTTTATCACCCATCTCTGTGACAAAGGTAGGCATTGCTTCTCAGTGGAATATGCTTCTGTGTTTAACTCTAAATAATAATTTACTTAACAATTACCTTGGCCAGTTTTATAAGTGTTGGCCTATTAATTTTGCCATAAATTAGATAGGTCTCTGTTTAATCCAATTGTTTAATGTGTTTCTACTTTTGTACATCTCCCTGTTTATCTTTCTATACATCTATAGAAAGAGTATATATTCTATATATTCTTTAGCTGTAGTATTTAAAATGGTCCCCCTTCACTGTGTTGTCCACTTCAGCAGTCACAAAGATGGTAGGAGACAGAGTATTTTCTACAGTGTCCATTTATTTATTTTAGCACTTTTTGAAAAATTTAATAATGCAAAATGTAAAAACATTTCAGAATTGCATGTAGACAGCCTAAATAGCCATCATTTAAGACAGATAAAATCCACTTTTAGTAATACTGACATCATTACAATGGTATTGACAAAAGGGTTGCTGCTCTTGACCATGTAACTAAATTGTTAGGTACAAAGCAGTTTCTCCTTCTGTCATGAAATGCATGTTCATATATTTTAATTTACATTTAAATCTTAAAGAAACCAATTTAATGTTCTGTGCGTACACACACACCACAGACATCTTCAGTGCTGTGAGAGAGATGGTCCTTTGGAAGAAAAACCCAAGAGGTTCCCTTCACTGAGTTTCTCCTTTATTGTTAGGTGTGTGGGAGGGTACCAGGGGCTGGAGAGTTGGGGGGAGGGTGTTCCCTTCTAATTGAATGAGCCACAGTCTTCCCCTAACTGTGTGGATCCACTGGGATTCTGTCTGCAGCGAGGACCTGGGGCTTCATGCCAGCTGAGTCCCCAGCATGCTGTATTGCTGTCCAGCAACCAAGTCTGTTGGATCTGCATTACTAACGATCTGCAATCCCCCCAGCCACAGTTGAGTGATATAGTGCGAGCAGAACAATGAATGGGAGTTAGGAAGTTCTGAACTCTGAGCTCTGAACTCTGCTCCAAAACTTCCAACTGACTTTGTGCATGTGTTTGTTTGAATCACTTATACAAGAAGTTTCCTCATCTGGAAAACAAAGCCAGCTACCTAGCTTTTCCTGCACTATAGTGATGTTGTAACCATTAAGTAATTATTGTTTAAAATTCATTTAAAAAGTGTTAGCAATGAGAGGGTCCAGAGGAGGGCCACTCACATGATCAGGGGGCAGCAGGGCAGGCCATATGAGGAGAGACTAGAGGGCCTGAACCTATTCAGCCTCCACAAGAGAAGGCTGAGGGAGGATCTGGTGACCGTCTCCAAATTCACCAGGGGAGATCAGCAGGGAATAGGAGATGCCCTGTTCCCCTGGGCACCACATGGGGTAACTAGGAATAACAGCCACAACTTGATAGAGAGCAGGTTCAGGCTAGACATCAGGAGGCATTACTTTACAGTTAGGGTGGCTAGGACCTGGAACCAATTTCCAAGGGAAGTGGTGCTCGCTTCTACCTTGGGGGTCTTTAAGAGGAGGCTAGATAGATACCTGACTGGGGTCATATGACCCCAGCATCCGTTCCTGCCCAGGGCAGGGGGTCAGATTTGATGATCTGCTCAGGTCCCTTCTGACCCTAGCTACTATGATACTACTATGAGAAGGTATGCATTATATAGACTTGTATACAATAATGTGCAATCATTATTATGATAATGATGGGTTCCAAATTTCTCTCTAACCAACAAACTTCTTGAAGAAAGCCAGAAATGTGCACTTTGCTTTGTGTCCCCCATTAATGGATAGAGATAATATTCAGTATAAATGTCACATTTATATGCCAAGTCTTTCTAATTGCACTCTTGCTGTTGTACACGATACAGCTTCGTGTCTATCAATGCACATTTCTTTTTTTTTTATTTAGTTGGAGTTTGGAGTTGGAAAAGTGCAGATGAATTTTCTTCATTTACTGAGCTCAGAAGCAACCCATACCATCACAGTTCACTGTCTGAACACACCAATATGGGGAATAAATGAGGCAGGTGCCCAGAAAACATCTGTTAGCTTCAAGGGATGGAATGGTCACGTGTTTAAAGCAAATACACTAGTTGAACCAAAGGTGCTTCTGGATGAGTGCATGGTAAATACAATTTGGTATCATTAACCTAATGGTGGAATTTACCAACCTTTCCTCAGTGAAACTTGTTTGTATGCTTGTACATATATATCATCTAGATATTATTCAACACATGAAGCTAACTTCCTTTCACGTCATTTACAAGTGTGTCAATGTGTCAGCTATTTGATATGATCCAGAGTATATACCAGAAATTGCATTTGAGCAGGGCTCTTGCTCTTAGCATTAGATCCCATGCTCCCTCTTGTTACCATGCCCCAGCTAGGCACTGCCTGTTGGTGCCCCTTTGCTTTGGCACCTGGGGCAGTCTCCCTTCACCGCCTCCCCCCCCCCACACACGCTTGTTAACAGCACTGCAGGAGGTAATTTAGTCTAACACCCTGATCAAAGCAGGACCATCCCCAACTACATCATCCCACCCAAAGCTTTGTCAAGCTGGGTCTTAAAAACCTCCAAGGATGGAGATTCCACCATCTCTCTGGGTACCCTGTTCCAGTGCTTTACTATCCTCCTAGTGAGAAAGTTCTTCCTAATATCTAACCTAAACCTTGCTGCAACTTGAGACCATTGCTCCTTGTTCTGTCATCTTCCACCACTAAGAACAGTCTAGCTCTATCCTCTTTTGAACCCCCCTTCAGGTATTTGAAAGCTGCTATTAAATCCCCCCTCGGTCTTCTCTTCTATAGACTAAACAAGCCCAGTTCTCTTAGCCTCTCTTCATAAGTCATGTCCCCTAGCCCCCTCACCATTTTTGTTGCCTTTAGCTGGAGTCTCCAATTTGTCCACATCCTTTCTGTAGTGGGGGGCCCAAAACTGAACACAGTACTCCAGATGTGGCCTCACCAGTGCTGAATAGAGGGGAATAGCAAGTTCCCTTGACCTGCTGGCAACACTCCTACCAATGCAGCCCAGTATGCCATTAGCCTTCTTGGCAACAAGGGCACACTGCTGGCTTCTATTCAGCTGCAGCTGTCCCCAGGTCCTTTCCTAGAGAGCTGCTGCCCAATCAATCAGTCCCCAGCCTGTACTGTTGCATGGGACAGCTACTGAAAAGTGCCATTTTCTTGTGAGATTCTATGAGATCGTCCTCTCTTCCTACATTAAAACTATGCAGATTTCCTGCAGGATTTTTTTACATATTACTCTTTACAGGAATTTCACTTGTAAGTGATCTCCACTGCTGCTTTGCCCAGTTAGGCAAGAAAGAAGTGGCTGCACCCACAACTTTTTCAGCTGAAGACAAAGTGATATTGTTATTTTATACATTTTATAACAATATTATTGAGATTTAAAAAAATAATCAAAACAAAGTTCATGACAGAGGTGTTCCCCATAATTCTTAAAAATACCTCCTAAAGCCATGGAGCCTATAGAATAGACAAGTATGTTTGTCTCAGTTCAAGTCTTCATTAGTACGTATAGTAAGTTAGACTTTTAAGAAATGCTTCTCTATCAGTGCACGGGGAAACAGCCTTTGTAAAATTACAGAAGTCCTGCAAGCACTGATGGGAGAAGGGTTGCCTACATGTCACATACCTCTCTCTCCCCACCCCAATAATACATGCGCCTTGTTTTGGGAAGGCAGAATGAAGAAAAAAATATTTTTTCCAGTCATATCCTGGCTGAATCCTGACCACAGGGGATCCTGACTGCATGGCTGAATCCTGACTAGCACCGCTCAGGCAAAAGCTAGCTTTAACCCTTTCACGGTTGCTGCCATATTAACAGTAGCTTTTGGCTGAGGAGCCAGAAGCTGCTGTCAATTCATCAGTGTCTGTGAAAGGGTTAAAACTAATGCCGAGCAGTGCATTTCATGCCTGTGCAGGGTCCCTATTCTTCAATTCTGGCACAGAATAAGAGATGCATCCCAATTTTTGGAGGCCTGATTTTTGAGGGGAAAATGCATATGGTATACAAGTGAATATGGTATGTTCACTTGTATCTCTGATTTTTTGCATTCCAGATTCTCTCTGTTATGAAATAACCTGCTGATATATATTTAATCCTCTAATTCTATGCATTCCAGATCCAAGATGGCAACTGGCATAAGACACAGTTCTACTTTCACACTCAGGACACTAACCAGCTTCCAGTTGTTCAAGTGCATGCATTTCCTCATCTTAAACCAGGACAACAGCACTTCTTAGAAAGTGGTTCAGTGTGCTTTCTTTGAGCTTCCTGACTCTGCTCTGGTGTATCATATCATGGTGGAATTGCTGCAGACAACAAGTAGGGTTTTTTGGGGGGGAAGTTTTAAGAAAAATGAATTTAAGCTGAAATCATCTTGAAACTGTGGAAGCATTTTAAAGCAAATTGTTAGTTGTATCTTAAAGAATCTCAGGAAGAAAAAGACTTCCTCCTAAGAAGGAGAAATGGCATTTAAAATAGACTACAACAACATTGATAAAAGTATTTAATTTTTTAACATATTGGCTGGTGCTTTCGTGTACGATTCCCTGGAACTCAGCACTATGTACCTGAACAAGAAATTCTTTGGGACTCCTAGTGTTCTCAACAACCTATTTAATAGCACTGTACAAGACACCCTAAGCAAGCTGGAGACATGCAGTACAAAGGAGCAATACTGGCTAATGCTCCCAAATGTGCAATAGCTTACATACGAGAGTAAATTATGCCACAGTACAATAAAGGTTTTTTTTAAAACACAAAGTCATATTATAGTCCTCTGTGGACACATCATCTGAACAGATGGTACACTACCTCTTACGTGTTTCCTGTTTGTGTTGCCTGGTGCTCTTCTTAACACAAGGTGCTTGTGGCTTAAGTAGATATTATTTGATTTCCTTTTTCTCTTTCAGACTGTATGTACTGGTTACATCAAGATATGTTTCTGTTGTAAGAGTACCTATTTTAAATTGTTGGTCACATACTTTGTTACAAGGAAAACCATTATTTATGTGAAATTTTTTGAATGTTTATGTTTATTATTGTGAAAGTGGCATGAAACAGCACATTGTATATGGTGCTTATGGGCTGAACAGCTTTTTTAGCCATTGTAAAATTGTAGGAAAGCTGCATACAGTAGTTTTGGTCTGTAATTTCTGTACTGCGGTTAACTATTTTAAACATCCAACGGCGTCTAGGGGATATATTGTGTATATATTTTGTAACTTGTTGAAATTTTTAATGCAGCATGTCTTATGAAGAGCTGTTGTTAAATTATGATAATCATAATCATTTCAGCAACTCAGAAATTCCATTTTTCATGATATTATTGGACAGTTTCAGTTTTATGTTATTAAATTGAGCCTAAACTGTTCAACCCTCAATTTTGAACAAAATTACTTCTGCCATTTCAACTGTAATTCTAAAAGGCTTTGCAAACACCATGCCAGCATCCGTTATCAAAGCAATGTTCATTCAGTAACACACAGCAAAATTATACCTCACTGTACTTGAAGGGTAGAGTTTTCAAACAGCAATTCATTTATGCCACGTTTATCCACAGTAGACCACACTTACCCAACTATAATAAAATGTGCTTCAAAATAACTGTTTCTCTTTTATTATTTTGGTTCCTCTTGTTTTCAGCAACCATGAGAAGTGTACATGGACTCTCTTATTGTAGCAAATTATTTTTATTACCTAGGGAATCATATACATATATAGAGAGCAATCTACAGATATTGATATCTATAGATATATAATATCAGTCATGGTCATACAGGATAGCGCAAGGTTGTTCACTTTTAGAACACAAAAATACATGCTCCTCCAATTTTAATCCTTCTGCTGAAGTATCAGTTATATTCCCTAAGAACCATGAAATATGCCTAATGTAAAGAAACAAAATAAAGAATGATATATTAAGGGAAGTGGAGAAGTTGATTCAGTCTTTCAACTGCCATTTCAATGTTTTAAAAGCAGTATCATTGCACATGTGCAACTGGGATCATATTGTACATATTTGTTTTTTGGAAAAATGACATCTTTGTACAAGCTGTGGTTTCTCTCTACTTCTACTAATATCATTCTCCTGAGGGCCCCGCTACACGTTCAGATGAACACTGGATAGAAACCAGTACACATTTTTGAGCACTAACTCTGTAGCTGGTTGGCTCACTTTACAGCTGGATAGTCATTTTATGGTGCGATAATTACAGTGCACCTCACCCATCTGCAGTTATTACACAATGGACCAGTGACTGGTGCAGCGGATGTACCATGTAGCAGGGGCCTCATTGTCACTGAAACCTTTACAGCTTATTCTCTATGGTTGGTTTATTGCCGGCGCTTCTGCTTCCCAAAGGCAGCGCTGTGTTAAAAGAGCAAATGCCTTTTTAGATGTTAACAAGTTACTTAAGAGTAACCACCTCACAACCTGATGCTTATCCGGCTTCCAAGTGTTATTGTAGCTGATGCGCCACGTTCTTCAACACCCCTCAAACCCGAGGAGGTGCAAATATTTTGGCGAGGTGGTCGGTTGTATTTTTGCAAAGGGCTTTTAACCCTGAGGAGCCACCTCAGTGCCTCCCCTCCCCAATTTTTTTAATCTTTTTTTTTTTTTTTTTGCAAAAATATTTATTTTGACAGACCGAAACACACTTGAGCAGTTAAACTATATCAGTCCCAACAGCAAAGGGCCTTAGGGCTCAGGGGAAACACCCCGTGCAGAGCGCCCGCCGCCGCCTCATTGCGGGAACTCCCCGGAGCACCGCGCCTGGCGCAGCCTCGGCCCCCCGCGAGACAGCCCAGGTCCAGCCCACGACCCCCGCCGGGCGGGCCGCTCCCGCAGGTGCCTGCA